GTACACCCGCTACTCTATAGCTCTATACCACACAGAATATGTAGCTAAAGGAGAAGCCGCCAGGTACGTGCTGCTCTGTACACCCGCTACTCTATAGCTCTATACCACACAGAATATGTAGCTAAAGGACAAGCCGCCAGGTACGTGCTGCTCTGTACACCCGCTACTCTATAGCTCTATACCACACAGAATATGTAGCTAAAGGACAAGCCGCCAGGTACGTGCTGCTCTGTACACCCGCTACTCTATAGCTCTATACCACACAGAATATGTAGCTAAAGGACAAGCCGCCAGGTACGTGCTACTCTGTACACCCGCTACTCTATAGCTCTATACCACACAGAATATGTAGCTAAAGGACAAGCCGCCAGGTACGTGCTGCTCTGTACACCCGCTACTCTATAGCTCTATACCACACTGAATATCTAGCTAAAGGAGAAGCCGCCAGGTACGTGCTGATCTGTACACCCGCTACTCTATGGCTCTATACCACACAGAATATGTAGCTAAAGGACAAGCCGCCAGGTACGTGCTGCTCTGTACACCCGCTACTCTATAGCTCTATACCACACTGAATATGTAGCTAAAGGACAAGCCGCCAGGTACGTGCTGCTCTGTACACCCGCTACTCTATAGCTCTATACCACACAGAATATGTAGCTAAAGGACAAGCCGCCAGGTACGTGCTGCTCTGTACACCCGCTACTCTATAGCTCTATAACCACACAGAATATGTAGCTAAAGGACAAGCCGCCAGGTACGTGCTGCTCTGTACACCCGCTACTCTATAGCTCCATACCACACAGAATATGTAGCTAAAGGACAAGCCGCCAGGTACGTGCTGCTCTGTACACCCGCTACTCTATAGCTCTATACCACACAGAATATGTAGCTAAAGGACAAGCCGCCAGGTACGTGCTGCTCTGTACACCCGCTACTCTATAGCTCCATACCACACAGAATATGTAGCTAAAGGACAAGCCGCCAGGTACGTGCTGCTCTGTACACCCGCTACTCTATAGCTCCATACCACACAGAATATGTAGCTAAAGGACAAGCCGCCAGGTACGTGCTGCTCTGTACACCCGCTACTCTATAGCTCTATACCACACAGAATATGTAGCTAAAGGACAAGCCGCCAGGTACGTGCTGCTCTGTACACCCGCTACTCTATAGCTCCATACCACACAGAATATGTAGCTAAAGGACAAGCCGCCAGGTACGTGCTGCTCTGTACACCCGCTACTCTATAGCTCTATACCACACTGAATATGTAGCTAAAGGACAAGCCGCCAGGTACGTGCTGCTCTGTACACCCGCTACTCTATAGCTCTATACCACACAGAATATGTAGCTAAAGGTGAAGCCGCCAGGTACGTGCTGCTCTGTACACCCGCTACTCTATAGCTCTATACCACACAGAATATGTAGCTAAAGGACAAGCCGCCAGGTACGTGCTGCTCTGTACACCCGCTACTCTATAGCTTCATACCACACAGAATATGTAGCTAAAGGAGAAGCCGCCAGGTACGTGCTGCTCTGTACACCCGCTACTCTATAGCTCTATATCACACAGAATATGTAGCTAAAGGACAAGCCGCCAGGTACGTGCTGCTCTGTACACCCGCTACTCTATAGCTTCATACCACACAGAATATGTAGCTAAAGGAGAAGCCGCCAGGTACGTGCTGCTCTGTACACCCGCTACTCTATAGCTCCATACCACACAGAATATGTAGCTAAAGGACAAGCCGCCAGGTACGTGCTGCTCTGTACACCCGCTACTCTATAGCTCTATACCACACAGAATATGTAGCTAAAGGACAAGCCGCCAGGTACGTGCTGCTCTGTACACCCGCTACTCTATAGCTCTATACCACACAGAATATGTAGCTAAAGGACAAGCCGCCAGGTACGTGCTGCTCTGTACACCCGCTACTCTATAGCTCTATACCACACAGAATATGTAGCTAAAGGACAAGCCGCCAGGTACGTGCTGCTCTGTACACCCGCTACTCTATAGCTCTATTCCACACAGAATATGTAGCTAAAGGACAAGCCGCCAGGTACGTGCTGCTCTGTACACCCGCTACTCTATAGCTCTATACCACACAGAATATGTGGCTAAAGGACAAGCCGCCAGGTACGTGCTGCTCTGTACACCCGCTACTCTATAGCTCTATACCACACAGAATATGTAGCTAAAGGAGAAGCCGCCAGGTACGTGCTGCTCTGTACACCCGCTACTCTATAGCTTTATACCACACAGAATATGTAGCTAAAGGAGAAGCCGCCAGGTACGTGCTGCTCTGTACACCCGCTACTCTATAGCTCTATACCACACAGAATATGTAGCTAAAGGACAAGCCGCCAGGTACGTGCTGCTCTGTACACCCGCTATCTATAGCTTTATACCACACAGAATATGTAGCTAAAGGACAAGCCGCCAGGTACGTGCTGCTCTGTACACCCGCTACTCTATAGCTCCATACCACACAGAATATGTAGCTAAAGGAGAAGCCGCCAGGTACGTGCTGCTCTGTACACCCGCTACTCTATAGCTCTATACCACACAGAATATGTAGCTAAAGGACAAGCCGCCAGGTACGTGCTGCTCTGACACCCGCTACTCTATAGCTCTATACCACACAGAATATGTAGCTAAAGGACAAGCCACCAGGTACGTGCTGCTCTGTACACCCGCTACTCTATAGCTCTATACCACACAGAATATGTAGCTAAAGGACAAGCCGCCAGGTACGTGCTGCTCTGTACACCCGCTACTCTATAGCTCTATACCACACAGAATATGTAGCTAAAGGACAAGCCGCCAGGTACGTGCTGCTCTGTATACCCGCTATTTTATAGCTCTATACCACACAGAATATGTAGCTAAAGGACAAGCCGCCAGGTACGTGCTGCTCTGTACACCCGCTACTCTATAGCTCCATACCACACTGAATATCTAGCTAAAGGTGAAGCCGCCAGGTACGTGCTGCTCTGTACACCCGCTACTCTATAGCTCAATACCACACAGAATATGTAGCTAAAGGACAAGCCGCCAGGTACGTGCTGCTCTGTACACCCGCTACTCTATAGCTCTATTCCACACAGAATATGTAGCTAAAGGACAAGCCGCCAGGTACGTGCTGCTCTGTACACCCGCTACTCTATAGCTCTATACCACACAGAATATGTAGCTAAAGGACAAGCCGCCAGGTACGTGCTGCTCTGTACACCCGCTACTCTATATCTCTATACCACACTGAATATGTAGCTAAAGGACAAGCCGCCAGGTACGTACTGCTCTGTACACCCGCTACTCTATAGCTCTATACCACACAGAATATGTAGCTAAAGGACAAGCCGCCAGGTACGTGCTGCTCTGTACACCCGCTACTCTATAGCTCCATACCACACAGAATATCTAGCTAAAGGACAAGCCGCCAGGTACGTGCTGCTCTGTACACCCACCCGCTACTCTATAGCTCTATACCACACTGAATATCTAGCTAAAGGACAAGCCGCCAGGTACGTGCTGCTCTCTACACCCGCTACTCTATAGCTCCATACCACACTGAATATCTAGCTAAAGGACAAGCCGCCAGGTACGTGCTGCTCTGTACACCCGCTACTCTATAGCTCCATACCACACAGAATATCTAGCTAAAGGACAAGCCGCCAGGAACGTGCTGCTCTGTACACCCGCTACTCTGTAGCTCTATACCACACTGAATATCTAGCTAAAGGACAAGCCGCCAGGTACGTGCTGCTCTGTACACCCGCTACTCTATAGCTCTATACCACACAGAATATGTAGCTAAAGGACAAGCCGCCAGGTACGTGCTGCTCTGTACACCCGCTACTCTATAGCTCTATACCACACTGAATATCTGGCTAAAGGACAAGCCGCCAGGTACGTGCTGCTCTGTACACCCGCTACTCTATAGCTCCATACCACACAGAATATGTAGCTAAAGGACAAGCCGCCAGGTACGTGCTGCTCTGTACACCCGCTACTCTATAGCTCTATACCACACTGAATATGTAGCTAAAGGACAAGCCGCCAGGTACGTGCTGCTCTGTACACCCGCTACTCTATAGCTCTATACCACACTGAATATGTAGCTAAAGGAGTAACCTAACTAGTAAACAAGCGCGTGAACCGACGCACTCATTCATTCAGGATTCATTTTCAGAAAATGTTGTTTTATGCGTGTTTTCAGGCAATGAGAAACTGCTGCAATATCGTTAAATTTTGACAGCGTGTTATTGATTATAATAGCTCAAATGGGTTATCGGGCGGTCACGAAATCGTAGTACCCTGGTTCGAGTCCTGTCTTTGGTCAGACTTTTTTTTCATTTTTTTTTTCAAGTTCCATTCTTTTTTGAGAAAATCTATTATTTCGAGCCCTTTTTTAGTATTTTTTAAAAACACGAAAATTTAAATTAAACTAATTGCACTCATGATTTTTTATTCAAATAACCAGCTCCGTTTTTTCTATTATGTCGGTAAGATCAAAAAATTTATTCATATTTCATCAGTATGTAATTTGTATCTAAATATAGTTTCCAAAACACACGAATTAAAAAAAATACCGTGCAAAGCTCGGTCAACCAGGTACTTTAACTTAAACTGAACAATAAATAATCAAATTTATTATTATATTAAATTAAAATAATTGTTGTATCTGTCAAAAATTACAAATACTAATTAAGTATGTGACGTAAAAATTTATAAATAATGTTGAACAACCTAAATTTTAGTATTTTATTTTGTGTGTAATTAAATTTAAACCTATTTATTTTACCCCTTTAGGTCAATCACCACAAGAATTTGTTAGTGGTAGCTTTGTCGTTTTGCGGGTCTAAATACATCGTCATTCATAATTATTTTTTTTAACAAAACACATTTTTTGATAATTCTGGCATGGTTGATTCTGGATATAGCTATCATCTGACATCACTAACAATTTTCTCATTTATATTATTTTATACAGGTGAAAAGAAAGAAGAACCGTCTGATGTGAAGACGGAACCAATGGAGGTTGAAGAAAGCGAGGTGAAGGTGAAAGACGAGCCATCTGATGCAACGTCCGCTGATGAAGCTAAGGATAGAAAGGAGACCGCGACGCCTCCTCCTGGTAAATTTACATAGCTTTTGCATGTATGCAATTCTGTAGAATTATAAAGAAAACTGTGAAATGAGGTGTTAGATTCTCTTACACTTTATTAAATTAGCAACTGTAAAGAGGGATGCAAACAATACATTGAAGTTTTAGAAAAATAAATTGAACAATCAACTTTTTCTGTCACCAGGGCGGCGCCACTTACTGTTAATTTTTGCTTGCATTGAACATTTCAAATACATTTATTTTTTCTAGGCGATGTCCTTTTCAGAATATCAATGCATAAATTGCACAGTGTATCGTGCAGTGGCAACCCTATTGATATGTTTATTTACATGATTCTTAACAGGTTTTTTATGTGTAGTTTTCCTAGGGTTTACTGGTAGAGAATGGCTTAATGCATTGAGTGTGCGGTTTGTTAATAAAAGAATATGTGTGCGCAGAGTGCGGGGCGGTGGCAGGCAGTGGCAGCGGTGGCGGCGGTGGCAGTGGTGCCGTGGAGGCAGGCGTGGCGGCGGCTGCAGCAGCGGCGTTGGCAGCGGCCGCGGTCAAGGCCAAGCACTTGGCCGGCGTCGAGGAGCGCAAGATCAAGTCGCTCGTGGCGCTGCTCGTCGAGACGCAGATGAAGAAGCTTGAGATCAAGCTGCGTCACTTCGAAGAGCTCGAGGCCACCATGGAGCGCGAGAGGGAGGGTGCGTGCAAGCCAATCATTAACACTGTAATACTCACTTTACCTATCGTGTAAACAACAAAGCTACAACTACAATTGTGTATTGTTTATTTAATATTAGCTAAATAAGTTTAGTCACGATCTGGTAGCACAGTTGTAACGTAACCCCACAAATTAATAAAAATGTAAAACATTAGTTTTTATTAAACTAACATCTAAATATTGTCTTAATTTACACATTTTTAAATAAATAAACAATTCTGGCAATTTCGTTGGTTACAGTGTGTTGATATTTCGTACGCTTGTACGTACATAATATTCGTTCACGCACACACGTACGTGCATTTACACAGACATACATGCACGCACACAAACATACACATACGCACACACTCGCACTCCTACGAGATTTACTAACAATAAATATCGCCTATCACCACTGCAGCTTGCTGATCTGTTGGACTGTGTCGATTACTCTGGTTCCACTGATATCCTAATTACAAATACTATCGCGCAGAGAAGCACTACTGCACATATTTATCACAAAAACAAATATCATAATGTTACGAGCTTGGGGTTCGTGACAGTAAAAACTGCCGATTGAATTACCAAAATTGACACTTTAATTACCGAACACCAATTTCAACTTAAAATACACTAATAATAAATCACACTGATCGCTTTAGTTCGCAGTTATATCATTCGCAGTTGTGAATTCTAATTCAATACTGACTCGGTCTTGGGACTTACTGACCTTATATAGGGCCTCTTCTACTGAAACATCTAGAATGTTCGAGTAAATACCGGTCCCGGCTAACTAGGTGTAGAAAGTTCTAGTATGGAATTTTCTAGAAAGTTCTCCTAGTTCTGCTTCTTGATACTAGATGGCGCGAGTTACCACTCGCCACGTACCAGGCATTAATTGTGGCGCGCAGCAATAACAATAACTTTTTTATTAGGTCTTGAATATCAAAGGCAACAGTTGATTCAAGAACGACAGCAGTTCCATTTAGAGCAGTTGAAGGCCGCCGAGTTCCGTGCCAGGCATCAAGCACATCAAAGGTGATAAAAAACTTACACAGACATTATTTGTATTTATTTAAACGGTTACAGTTACACGATATTCAAAATAAATAATTGTATTTCAGCTTTTTGGTTTCTAACAATTTTTACCTTATTTAAATATATTTCAAACCAAAGAATTTAAAAATAACTAGATTTTATAAACTTCGTGGATTAAGAGCATTCTCATGGAAGCATGTATGAGGCAAAGCTCAGTAGCAGGCATACTAATCTCGAATGGGTTTTTTCTTACTGATTTATGTTAAGTAAGCATTGTAGTCATTCTGAGGACATAATGTTTTCACATTAACTTTCGATACTTCGGTGGATTGGACATGTAGAAAGAATGAGTGAGAAAAGAGTTACAAAGTAAAATAATGCTGCAGAAGCGAGTAAGTGAGTAGCAGAGCTGGTAAGAGATACCCTTGATGGAAGTTTATCGAACGAATTAGTGATATATTAAAGATAGGTCAAATTAAGAGTACCCTTAGCCGACGAATCTGTATGAGTAATATGAATGTGAAAGAAGTGAGAGAGGAGTGTTGTGATCGTGTGAAAAGAAATTCTGTAGTCTGCTTTCTCATCAGAGTTATAGAGTTTATTTTGTTATATAGATTCGTATCGATCCTTGTTAATTATATTATGGTTGTATCACGAATGGGTCTGCTCGACCGGGAAAGGACCATCCTCTTATAGAATAATTGCGTAAAATAGCAGTTTAACGTTGCTGTGTTTTTATGGTGGGGATAAAGAATCTGCGACTCTTTTTAATGAAAAGGAGAAATTCCATTGTAGTCCTGAAGGGTGACAACGGATTTTTAATCGAAGTTAGATGTAGATGTCTGTGGACCACAGTATCCACTTACTATCGGGTGGACTGTGTGTTTGTTAGTCGCTCCCATTCTATAAAAAAGTGATTAAGTGTATTGATGTGGTGGTCAGACTTCAAGCGGACAGTGGTGGAGCTGGCGCAGCGGCGGGCGGCACGGCTGGCGCGGGCGAGGCGGCGGCCGGCGAGACACCCGCGCCTGCCGCGCCCGCGCTCCACGCGTAAACTGGCGCGTGTACGCACACGTGAGTGTAACTACTCAGTACTTGCCACAAAACGCGGGCGAGGCGCCCGCGCTCCACGCGTAAACTGGCGCGCGTACGCACACGTGAGTGTAACTACTCAGTACTTGCCACACAACGCGGGCGAGGCGCGTCCCGCGCGCTACGCACCGTGAAACTACTCAGTACTTGCCACAAAACCGGCGAGCGCCCGCGCTCCACGCGTAAACTGGCGCGCGTACGCACACGTTAGTGTAACTACTCAGTACTTGCCACATAACGTGGGCGAGGCGCCCGTGCACGCCGCGCCCGCGCTTCACGCGTAAACTGGCGCGTGTACGCACACGTAAGTGTAACTACTCAGTACTTGCCACAACCGGGCGAGGCGCCCGCGCTCCCGCGTAAACTGGCGCGCCACCGTGAGTGTAACTACTCAGTACTTGCCACAAACGCGGGCGAGGCGCCCGCGACGCCGCGCCCGCGCTCCACGCGTAAACAGGCGCGCGCACGCACACGTAATTGTAACTACTCAGTACTTGCCAAACCGGGCGACTCACGTAACGCGCGCACCACGATTGTAACTCAGTCTGCCACATAACGTGGGCGAGGCGCCCGTGCACGCCGCGCCCGCGCTTCACGCGTAAACTGGCGCGCGTACGCACACGTAAGTGTAACTACTCAGTACTTGCCACAACAACGCGGGCGAGGCCCGCCGCGCCCGCGCTCCACGCGTAAACAGGCGCGCGCACGCACACGTAATTGTAACTACTCAGTACTTGCCACATAACATGGGCGAGGCGCCCGTGCACGCCGCGCCCGCGCTCCACGCGTAAACTGGCGCGCGCACGCACACGTAAGTGTAACTACTAAGTACTTGCCACAAAACGTAGGCGAGGCGCCCGTGCACGCCTCGCCCGCACTCGACGCGTAAACTGGCGCGCGTACGCACACGTAAGTGTAACTACTCAGTACTTGACACAAAACGCGCGGGCGAGGCGCCCGCGCTCCACGCGTAAACTGGCGCGCGCACGCACACGTAAGTGTAACTACTCAGTACTTGCCACATAACGTGGGCGAGGCGCCCGTGCACGCCGCGCCCGCACTCCACGCGTAAACTGGCGCGCGTACGCACACGTAAGTGTAACTACTCAGTACTTGCCACAAAACGCGGGCGAGGCGCCCGCGCTCCACGCGTAAACTGGCGCGCGCACGCACACGTAAGTGTAACTACTCAGTACTTGCCACATAACGTGGGCGAGGCGCCCGCGCACGCCGTGCACGCACATGTAAGTGTAACTACTCAGTACTTGCCACAAAACGCGGACGAGGCGCCCGCGCTCCACGCGTAAACTGGCGCGCGCACTCACACGTAAGTGTAACTACTCAGTACTTGCCACATAACGTGGGCGAGGCGCCCGCACACGCCGTGCACGCACATGTAAGTGTAACTACTCAGTACTTGCCACAAAACGCGGGCGAGGCGCCCGCGCTCCACGCGTAAACTGGCGCGCGCACGCACACGTAAGTATAACTGCTCGGTACTTGCCACATAACGTGGGCGAGGCGCCCGCGCACGCCGCCGACTCCCGCACGCACAAGTAAGTGTAACTACTCAGTACTTGCCACAAAACGTGGGCGAGGCCCCGCGCCCGCGCTCCACGCGTAAACTGGCGCGCGTACGCACACGTTAGTGTAACTACTCAGTACTTGCCACAAAACGCGGGCGAGGCGCCCCCCGCGCCCGCGCTCCACGCGTAAACTGGCGCGTGTACGCCGTACGCACACGTGAGTGTAACTACTCAGTACTTGCCACAAAACGCGGGCGAGGCGCCCGCGCTCCACGCGTAAACTGGCGCGCGTACGCACACGTGAGTGTAACTACTTAGTACTTGCCACACAACGCGGGCGAGGCGTCCGCGCACGCCGCGCCCGCGCTCCACGCGTAAACAGTGGCGCGCGCACGCACACGTAAGTGTAACTACTCAGTACTTGCTACATAACGTGGGCGAGGCGCCCGTGCACGCCGCGCCCGCGCTTCACGCGTAAACTGGCGCGCGTACGCACACGTAAGTGTAACTACTCAGTACTTGCCACAAAACGCGGGCGAGGCGCCCGCGCTCCACGCGTAAACTGGCGCGCGCACGCACACGTAATGGTAACTACTCAGTACTTGCCACACAACGCGGGCGAGGCGCCCGTGCACGCCGCGCCCGTGCTCAACGCGTAAACTGGCGCGCGCACGCACACGTAAGTGTATCTACTCAGTACTTGCCACAAAACGTAGGCGAGGCGCCCGTGCACGCCTCGCCCCTCACCGTAAACTGGCGCGCGTACGCACACGTAAGTGTAACTACTCGGTACTTGCCACAAAACGCGGGCGAGGCGCCCGCGCTCCACGCGTAAACTGGCGCGCGCACGCACACGTAAGTGTAACTACTCAGTACTTGCCACATAACGTGGGCGAGGCGCCCGTGCACGCCGCGCCCCCCTGCACACGCACACGTAAGTGTAACTACTCAGTACTTGCCACAAAACGCGGGCGAGGCGCCCGCGCTCCACGCGTAAACTGGCGCGCGCACGCACACGTAAGTGTAACTACTCAGTACTTGCCACATAACGTGGGCGAGGCGCCCGCGCACGCCGTGCACGCACATGTAAGTGTAACTACTCAGTACTTGCCACAAAACGCGGGCGAGGCGCCCGCGCTCCACGCGTAAACTGGCGCGTGCACGCACACGTAAGTGTAACTACTCAGTACTTGCCACATAACGTGGGCGAGGCGCCCGCGCACGCCGTGAACGCACATGTAAGTGTAACTACTCAGTACTTGCCACAAAACGCGGGCGAGGTGCCCGCGCTCCACGCGGAAACTGGCGCGCGCACGCACACGTAAGTATAACTACTCAGTACTTGCCACATAACGTGTGCGAGGCGCCCGCGCACGCCGTGCACGCACAAGTAAGTGTAACTACTCAGTACTTGCCACAAAACGCGGGCGAGGCGCCCGCGCTCCACGCGTAAACTGGCGCGCGCACGCTCACGTAAGTGTAACTACTCAGTACTTGCCACATAACGTAGGCGAGGCGCCCGTGCACGCCGCGCCCGCACTCCACGCGTAAACTGGCGCGCGTACGCACATGTAAGTGTAACTACTCAGTACTTGCCACAAAACGCGGGCGAGGCGCCCGGCACGCGCCCGCTCCACGCGTAAACTGGCGCGCGCACGCACACGTAAGTGTAACTACTCAGTACTTGCCACAAAACGTGGGCGAGGCGCCCGCGCTCCACGCGCTGGCGCGTGCACGCACACGTAAGTGTAACTACTCAGTACTTGCCACATAACGTGGGCGAGGCGCCCGTGCACGCGCGCCCGCCCCCACCACCCGCGCTCCACGCGTAAACTGGCGCGCGCACGCACACGTAAGTGTAACTACTCAGTACTTGCCACATAACGTAGGCGAGGCGCCCGTACACGCCGCGCCCGCACTCCACGCGTAAACTGGCGCGCACACGCACACGTAAGAGTCAAAACTTCTTTACAGTTCTTGGCATGAAAAGCGACACTAACAAGAGACGAACAAATACATCTATACGATTTAGCCTGCAGGCGAATGAGATATAATACAATTCACACTATTTCCTATCATTTCGGTCTCCTTTTTTGAAGATTTCGTACTACCGCGTGAAAACTGCATGCATGTTTTTTTTTTTCATCCTATTTAATTTATTGCCATATATAAAACTAAATTGTAGGACTCGTTTCAACCGTGTAGCGGCGGTGTTAGAATACCCACTATCCCCTGTAGTTCCGGGGGTGTCGTAAGAGACGACAGAAGAAAGCTGAAACAAAATAGCCAGAAACATCTTCCCGATAACAACTTAAATCACAAAAACTGCGAGTGCTAACCATCTTCTCAGCATGGCAATTATAGCAAAATACAATTCATATATAGGAAAAACCTGTTTTGCAGTGAACTTGTATAGACTGTAGTGTAATGGAGGACTCACTTTCTGCTTAGGAGTTAGTCTGTGTAGGTACCACACTCTTTTTCCTGTATCTCAGAAGGGCTAGAACCGAGAGCCGTAAAGCCAGTTAATAAAAAAGGTTTTACCAGTTTCTGCCGCCAAATAGCAGCGCTTGAGCTGTCGTGTTCTGATTTAAAGGGTAGAAGTGTCATTATAATTACCGGCTGTGAGACTTTCCATCTGACCTCTCGTAGGTGAATACGCATCTGTTATTTTTTCTGTTTGAAGTTGGCTGCAGGTATCCATGCAGTGCAGTAGCCACTTACTGTCAGCTGGTCTGTAAATCGATTTAAACATAAATAAACATAAAAAATATAGGAACAGCTTGAAATGTGCGTCAGTATTTTACATCAATACGTTTATGGAGTATTTCGTTGCATTCAGAGCCATTACCCTGGTAATGTTGCTCCATATAACCAGTCTTTATGTTTTGGATTCGGTATATTCGAATGGATACACCATAATTTGCCGATTGATTTTATTAAAGCAAAATGCACTACGTCCAGACGAGGTGCACCTTAAAAATTGTTTTTCCAGGCACATGCATGTAGTAGAGCCATGCTGCAGCTATATTATAATTGTAGCACGAATGGGTGGTCTTGACCGGTGAAGACCACGCTCTCACAAAATACTAGCGTGAAATTGCAGCTCAATGCTGATAATAGCGCTGTAATTTTAAAGTCATTAAGTTTTTATTAATTATATATAATATACATTTAATTTAACAGTTCTCACATAAGATAAGAGGAAAGACATTAAGTTTATTAATAATATTTTCCTCATACACAGGTGTGTACCTACGGCTGATTACGCGTGGAACGTGGACACCTATGCACCTTATCGTGGGATTTGTCGACTTTTTTTTTTAATTCCATAGTTAAGGTGACATTTTTGTTTGACTTGAATTTATGCTTTCGGGTCAATGCATAACTTTTAAATACCTTGTGCTAAAATAAATCAATCTTCATTCGCCCACAAAACGCAACAAATATGCGTGTATGGTATTAATGTTTTGTCTCACAAATGCGGGCGAGACTTAGGGTATGTTTCGAAATACAACCCAATACACTGTCTAATGCAAATGACGTCAATTGAATCGACGATATACTGGTGATTCGTTCGTCGAAACATAGGACAGTATATGACGTCATACATTAGCGCCATATTGATAAAGTGTTGGCGATTATTTTGTCATTTCGTGCTCCAAAAATCATTATATCCTCCTAATGGAGATACCAGCAATTATTCTATAATTTTTTGTATTTGAATTAATAAAAACAAATTCTGGTATGCTTCATTCAGCGCACACACAATTAAAAATTGTTTAATTATGGCCGGATATCCGACGCAATATGGCGGCGGCACGCCAGTACAATATAGTGTCAATTAATGACGTCTTCTTATTCCCTTATTCCCTGCCCAGGCTAATACCCTCCTATAACTAGATTTTTACTCTATATTGTGTGGTCCTCAAATCATATATTCAGTTGCTTTGTTTTTATTCATATTCTCACCTAATAACCACTAACTCCTTTTCTACCGGAAAGCCTCAAGACAAGGTGTGACAGACCGAAGACCGGACATTGGCAGAATTATTGTGACATTATCACAATACCAAGGGCCATATAGTTATTTAAAAAAAAAAATTAATGACGTCATTTGTATTCGGCAGTCTACTGAAAACGATTCGGAACATACCCTTACTCTGCTGCTTACCAAAGAGCACTTTAACGAGGGCATCCAAGACATTTCTGCCACCAGAGCGACGCCACTTAAAAATGAGCTGTAATATTTGACAGATTTCATAGCAGGGAAGTTAATTTTTTCGAAAAATGTAAATGTTAATGTTTCTTTCTGTAATATTACATATATTTTATATTAATTAGAAATAAAAACAAATAAATCAAACTACAGATATATTTATAAAAGTGGAAAAATTAAAAAAGAGTTAAAACTGTGCACAAAATTAAAGAGAACCGCTAAGCCATTGATTTGTGTATTAATATAATACCCTAAAATACTGACAAACTTTTATTATATAATAAATAACTGATAATTTTTTATTTAAAAAAATATCAATTAAGTGACATCTGGTGAGCGGAAGATTAGTAGCCCTCATTATTTTCTTATATCACTGCGAACCACATTGCACCGTTTACTTTTCGTTCTGACGGTACTTGATAGTAATTTTTGACTCCAGAGCTCGCACATACTAATACAATGTGCATGTGCACATACACTTCGAGTACCTAAGCTTAACCTTACATCGCCATCGTGAGTTAAAAACGTTATACACAAATATTGCATAATGTTTGATCTGCCGTTGACTTTACAATACATTTTTATCATAATAGCTCAAATGGGTTTAGTTATTATAATAAATATGTAAAAAAAACTTATTTAAGATGCATTTATGTTTATTTAAGAGTCTGTTTTGTAGCGTATTAGGCTAGATTATTCAAATTATTTGATTATGAAAATTTATGTTAAGAGGCTATTCATTAATTACGTAAGGATGATTTAGAACCTCTCCCCCCACTACCCCTAGGTAAGGATACGTAAGATTTCTCAATACCCTACGCCCCTCCCTCTTCTTACGTAATATTCTAACTCGTTTTTCTGAATAATGAAATGTTCTAAGAAAATTATCAGTACATATCCCCTATCCTCTAATACTCACAGTTTGACGTAAATCAATGATTTTTATTCTTTAACCGATAATTTAAAAACTCTTTTATTGCGATCATATATAGATTACCATAATATTATTATTAGACAAGTTGAGATAGTATCTGGACTATGAAACATCATTAATATAATTAAAAGTAAGTATTTAAATAATTTTAAAGTGAGCAAACATAAATTAGTTAAATAATCTACAAACGAATAATATTTTTGAGATAATGATCGACTAGTTATAAATTAATCTTAAAGAAAATAAATTCCACAGTAAGAGTATTATAATTATTATTTATAACATTTAAAATGGATAAAAATGAACACATTAAAGATTTTAAAATTTCAATAAACAATAAAAATTTGTAGAATAAGAATTAAATCGCAGTACATTATAGAATGAAAAAAACCTGTCTGCATCCGAAATGGAACTAGATTTCTAATATTAAATTTCGACTTAAAAATATTACTTAAGTATGAGTATCCCCCCGGGTCCCTCCACCAAGATAAGGGTACGTAAAGATTTTTTAAGGCCCCTCCCCCTCACACCCTTAGTAAATAATGAATGGCCCCTAAGACGTGAGTCAGTTCAATAAATTAATCTCTCGAGTGAATTTCTTGCTATTTATATTTTATGTACTGTATATGTAAATTCTAATTAAATTCCTTTTAAGAAATTTAGCCTACGCGACAAACTTCTTACATAGAAATTGCTTTCTAACAACAGTTTTACAATCGTTTACAAAAAGAAAACGGTTTCATTGTTTCTGTTGTATTTTAGGAAAAACTTAATATTATAGCTGCATAGAAAAATTTAGGCAAGTTCATTTCACCTTATCTAGTAATATTTATAATTTTCGGTTTTTTTATTGTTTTTTTTTTTATTAAAATGCCTAATGTAAAATATTACATAAGGCTAGATACGTTTATGGTAAAAGTTTTACTTTTACGTCAAAAAATTATTGAAGTTTATCGATCAAATTGATATATTCGATACAGTTTGAGGAAGGTAAAT